TAGCTCGTTAAAAAAACAATAAAGCCTCATGCAGTTTGCAGCAAGCTCTCGAATCCGCCTGGTGATTGGGGTGACCGCAGTCGTGGCCTGGGACCCCAGATACCTGAGTTTTCCGGGGGTCTAACAGTAACAGGGGCAAGTCAGCATAATGACTGAACCTTTAAATCCCACCTTTACTTATTATTAAAAATGTGGGGTGTTAGACATGGCAGATTAAGGAATAAGGGCCTTGAATTCTCAAGGCTGCTTCCTGATGACGTGGGAGGCATTGACCATCTTTGGGGGACCTGAGAAAGCTGGGATGCTGCCACATCCTAGGGTAGCCGGTTGCTCCATCAAAGCCTAGGATGTATGGAACTCTGGTGCCTCTTTGACCTGGCAAGATGGTGGCAGAGCAGTGGACAAGGTTAAGTTTAGGAAAATTTTTTTTCTTAGGTCCTGTCACTTGAGGGGAAGATTGTAAGATGAAGGAGGGGTTCCCGAGGGATCCCAATATGAGGGAAGGGAGTACTGGGACCAGGGAAAGATTGAATAATATCTGGAGTGAATCTGACCTGTCTGTTTGGATCCAATTCGGCTCCCTGGAACTTTCAAAAGTCCTTTGAGTTTGTGAAAACATAAATTTCAGGCATATTAGCAGCATATCCATGTTAGAAGTGACTTGGATGAAAGCATTATGATTATGAACAGTAGCATGAGAAAGAGAGAAATCTGGAACATATTTTATTCTTTTGAATGTCTCAAATCACTTTATCATCTTTAAACCTTAAAATACCCAATCCTGAGATATGTTTTGCTTTAAGCTGGCAAGACTACCAGTCATCAAAAGCATCAGAGTTCTTGAGAGGGATAAAATTTTACCTGAATTAATGATTAAAGAATAACAGTGGCTTGCCAGCAGACTGCATCAACAGCCACCCCTAAGGTCCTTTATCCATGGTTGTGGGCTGTAGCTTAAAGGACACCTGCCTTCTTGCTGATAGCATGTGACCTGTGGAGTAGGGACTACAGGAAGTCTCACCTACCGTTGACCCAAGCAACATAGGGAAAGTTGATTCCATTGTACTCTTGTCCATGGTCCAAAGAGGCCTTTGTAG